CCTAAGGGGACTCCCGAGTCTGCGGACACTAGCAAATATACCTCGAAATCTTCGTACACATATAACTCATTGATGTCTGGACTGGTAAGATGTATATGGATCTGCACAAAAAGATATGCAGAAGCGTAGTATGAGTACACCACAACGGTACCCAGTAAGTGCCAAGCCTAACCTCGATAGAGTAGTGACGAGGTCAGGTCAGACCCTACTGGAAAATAAATAATGATATGGTAAAATATTTAACAATATAATAAGATTAAATGACAATGGAAATGAATCAAGTAGTATGCCACTATTTAATTACACCAAATAATGGTAATTAATACCTCGTGGAAACAAAATAGAATTCATTTCAACTTTAAGAAAATCACAACAATAACCAAATGCAATTGCAGCCATAAATCAATATCAACAAGGGCACTCCCGAGGTAACGCCTCGTTGTACCAAGTCATAAATAAGTTCACAATATCTCATTTCCTTATATCACTGCTGGAGCCTTGACATTTAATTTTAAAAAAAATATTTTTTCCCGAAATAACATCCCGCATTGTAGCCACCCTTATCACACCGCATGACTTCTAGTAGTTTCTCCTACTAGCCACGCGTATCAAGCCACGCTTATCACACCGCATGACTTCTAGTAGTTTTCCCTACTAGCCACGCGTATCAAGCCACTCTTATCTCAGCGCATGCGTTTCAACACCCAAACCTTATACCACCACATGCGTAACAATATCACAATATATCATAATTTGCACCTCAAGTGCCCAAATATTTTAATTTGCCAAAATAAATCTACAACAATATTTTTTCATAATAAAGAACTCACGGATCATGCCAAAATAATTCACGATAATATTTTTCCACAATAAAGAGGTCACGGCTCCATCACAATTAGTACGAAAATCTCACAAAATATTCAGCAAATATAATAATTCACAAATTTACTACCTTGTTTTAACTATCAAATTTTTAAATGTAAAATACTTTATTTTTTAATAATATTTGAAATTAAAGAAATTTCACCTTCAAATAATTAACCGAATAAAAGAAATCAAGTTTCAGCTAACAGGTAAAAACAATTAGCAGGAGAAGGTCAAGCAAATTTAAAGTATATAAATCAAATCAATGATGAAGAATATAATAAAATAAAATAATTTAAGTAATGCGCAACAACGATCTACATAATTTAAAAACATAATTTTTCATATTTAGCCCGTGTATACACTCGTCACCTTATGTACAGGACTTTCAACACATTAAAATTATCACATCAATACCAATCCTAAGGAAAATTTTTCCCACACAAGGTTAGACAAGTCACTTACCTCGACTTGCTCCAATTTAATCAAGTAGTATGACTTTTCCTCGACTTTCCGACTCTGATCGACTCATATCTAGTCATAATTAATTCGATATAGTCAACAAAAATTACATAATCAATTCCATAAGAAAATACTATATTTTTTAATAAAATCTGAAATTTACTCAAAAATCGCTTGTGGGGCCCACATCTCGAAATCCGGCGAAAGTTACGAAATATGAACGCCCATTCAACTACGAGTCCAACCATACATTTTTACTAAAATTCGACATCAACTTGACCTCGAAATCTCAAATTCTCATTTTGAAATCCCTAGGCCCAAATCCTCTAATTTCACCTCAAAACATGTAATCTATTAGAAATATTCAATGATAATCCAATATAATTGACTAACAATAATCACATGTGACTTACCTTAAGTTTCTTAATGAATTCTCTTTGAAAAATCGCCCAAAATCGTGTTGAAAATGTCCAAAATGACAAAAATGTTGGAACCCCTCTGTTTTGCAATCTGTCAGAGCATTCGCACATGCGATGCACGTGACCGCATCTGTGCTTTCGCAAATGCTAAGGCCTCCCTCGCTTCTGCGGCTAGCTTCGCTTCTGCGATCCCTCGTCCGCATCTGCGGTCCCACATATGCGGTATTTTCCTTCGCATCTGTGGCCGCTGCTCCACTCCTCCTTTTTCCGCTTCTGCGCTCCCACGCTCACTTCTGCGAGCTCGCACCCGCGAGCCGAATTTCGCAGGTGCGGTTGTATCAGTAGACAACAAGAAGTTTCAATTGTTCTAAGTCCAAATTTGATCCGTTAACCATCCGGAACACGCCCGAGCCCCTCGAGACCTCAACCCAAATATATCAACAAATCCTAATGCATCATACGAACTTAGTCGAGTCTTCAAATCACATCCAACAACACTAAAACACGAATCACACATAGATTCAAGCCTAATGAACTTTGAAACTTTCAATTTCTACAAACGACGTCTGAACCTATCAAATGAAGTCCGATTGACCTCAAATTTTGTACGCAAGTCATAAATGACATAACGGGGCTATGAAAATTTTTAGAACTGGATTCCGACCGCGATATCAAAAAGTCAATTCTCCGGTCAAACTTCTAAACTTAAATTCTTATTTTAGCCATTTCAAGCCTAATTTAACTACGGGCCTCCAAATAATTTTTCGGACATGCTCCTAAGTCCAAAATTACCATATGGAGCTATTGGAATCATCAAAATTTTATTCCGTGATTGTTTACACATCGGTCGACATCCACCCTACCTTTTTCAACTTAAGTTTTAAACTTTAGAACTAAGTGTTCCACTTTATTCTAAAAATTTCATCGGACCCGAACCAATTGCCCCAGCAAGTCATATAACAGTTATAAAGTACAGAATGAGCATTAAATAGGGGAACGAGGCTACAACTTTTAAAACGACTGGATGAGTCGTTACATGCCAATAGGAATTTATCCACGTGGCTTTGCGGATACGAGTAATTATTTCGTCCAAGGTCAGACCCATTCATTTTTCCTTTTCGGATAAATTTTTTTTAATTGTCGTTTACATATGCTTTATTATTTTAAAAAAGATTCTCTATGCATAATCATATGCTGCATGTGAAAGTAAGGAATTTGACGAAAAATAAATGGATGATTCCCTTGCGCATAAATGGCCGATAATGATAAAATAAAACAGACTTACAATTTTAACCTCCATTGAAGATAATTCATCAATGTTAATAAGATATTTCAGTATCAAATAGCTATCGTTAATTACTGAACAATAATTCTATCATAAAATATAAACATATCTCTCCAATTCAAAATATTGATCGACTTTTTTTATCATTAAAAATAGATTTCACATTAAATAATAATTTTTCTAATATAAAGAGTTAAGAAAGAACTGATATTTTAGGCTCAATAAACAAGAAACTCTTGATCCCTTACTTTCCCGATTCTTTTAATATCTTTAATATATTTTATAACTCAAATCCATTTTAATAATATATGTTTGTATGATTTTAAAAAAAAATTATATTTATTGGTATGAGGTACACGTGCAAAGCGCGTACCCTAAAACTAGTACTATATTAAAAACACGAACACTCTTAGCGAAATTTAATTCGCCCTTTTTACCCTTTAAAAATAGAGTTCTCACTTGACAAAATAGTCATTTTAATTATTGTTTTAATATTTAAAATAGTCATTTAATATTACTAGAAATCTTTCCTTATTTAAAATATATAAGACTCTTAATATTTAGAACTTTAAACGTAATAAAATTTTTACCTTATTTAAATTATTTCCTCATTTGAATTAACATACTTTTCATATTGAGATAATATAAATTATATTTTTTGATGGGCGTGGAACTCACTTGAGGGACAAAGAGTAGGTTTATTATTCAAAATTTCGAATCAAAAGATCCAAAAGCAATTAGTTATGTATTTTATTTTGAATTTAATTTTGATAGAATTAGTTTTGAAATTTTTAAAAAGAATTCCTTGATTTTAAATTTTTGTTGTCATACTTCGTGTATATTCTGACTCATGATTATATTTAATTATTAATATAACTATGAAACTCTGTGAAAAATATCAGTATTAATAGTAAGATTCTCATGATAAAGCCATCGAAATAATAAAAGAGATCGTATGTCAGCAAAATTATTCGTGAAGAGGTAATATTCAATCTGTTGAATTCAAGTACCATCACTAAATATTATCAATGAATAGCTTTTAATTAGTTAACTATAATTCGCTCTTATAATTCAAAATATTAAAATTATATGCAGATAAAAATAGATATTACAAACACTATTATAATAGTTTATCTGAATGCACATTGCATGAAATGTTAATATAATTTTTATACCTTTTGAGAATTATATTGCATAACGATACCTTCATGTTAGTTAAAATAATAATAATAATAATAATAATAATAATAATAATAATAATAATAATAATAATAATAATAATAATAAATAATATTAATTTTTTACCTTAATTTTTATGACAATCATTTTATTTTTTTTCAGAAACACATGTAGTTGGGTTTAAACAATACCCATCCGATAAAAGTGTTCGTATGATAGTTAAACCTAATAATATGGAGTCTTTGTTTTTATTTTTTGTATTGTTCAGTTTGTTTTCCAGTAAGGAATAAGACGAAATTATATTATGTATTTGAGCAAATAGAATTTATTCTTTAAAGACATGAAGAATATAATATTGCTACAAGATATATTTGAGTACGAGTTAGCATATTATCTGTCATGTCGAGCAACTAAAGCAAATGCACAATTTATATGTCAAAATCATGATAAGACATTAGAATATTGTTACAAGATATATTTGAGTACAAGTTAGCATATTATCTGTCGTGTTTCCCTTTTATACTTCTCTTAAGAAAATATTAAATACGAGAGATTTTTGATTGTTTTACTCTTATTTATGTCTTAGATATAATTTCTTTTTATTTAATATTTATTCATAATTGAGATATTTGCAGTCTTCGAGAATAATTAATATCAAGGAAAAAATAGAAAAAAATAATTAATTTAATCTTGAACATCTAAAATGTCAAATAAAATAATTTGAGAAAACTATTTTTAGAAATTAAGACGGATAATTTGAGACAGGGAAAGTGCATTTTTTTAATTGATTCTTGCTGACCTTGTTTTGCTCCCTTTTTGTCTTAAATTTAAATGGAGTGACAAAGATTCTTACCTTTCCCAAATTCATCTCTCCCGTAAAAGAGAAAACCCTCCCCTGCTGCTCACCGATAACCACTTCATCTTCAGTCCTTCACTGTAACTGTAAGTCTCTCTCTTGTTTATTTTCTGCTGCTATTTCTTTCTCTTTTTGTTTATTTGAAAATTTTGGTATTTGGGTTTCTCTGAAAATCTAAACTTTCTGCAGGTAAATTATAGACTATTAGTATCCTTTTTATTTTCCTTTATTCAATTCAAATTTGATTTTTCTTTTATTTTTGCGATTTTTTATTAATGCTTTATTGTGTTAATCCGAAGATTGTTCTGTTGTATCTCTGAAATGATTATATTTGTGTTAGCCTTTTTTTGTTATTTTTGTTTAAATGTGTGCTAGAGCGGTCTTTCATGGTCAAAATAAGCTTTTTGTTGCTTTATGTTTGTTGTTGATGGTGTTCATTTGAAGTTTAATTTTTCAAGCTTTATTCAAATTTCTACTGAAAATATGTATGACATCCGAGTTGGATTGACTTGGAGGAAAGTGTTTCTAGTCCTTGTAAATTAGTGTTATCAAAGGCAAAAAATGCAAAAAAGCTCTAAGGTCTTTGGGGGCTTTAAGCGCAAATGAAGCATGTACTTTAATGAAGAAAGGCGCAATTGGAGAAAAGCTACAAATATTAATGCGTAGTCCAAGGCTAATATCTATAAGCATGAGAATACCAAATATATGGACCAAGAAATTGAAGAAAATTTACGATAAAGTGAAATATCAACTGTTTAGTGCTGCGTCTTCCGGATTACGCTCGTTAGCAAGGAAAAGTATACCTTAGAGCGTTGATGACAACACTGAAGCGTCCGTTAAGCGAGGCGAAACGCTCAATATGATGCCTATGATTCAATTAGTACCCTAGTGTAACTACCATTTTGACATGTAAGACTATTTGGGAACTTAATTTTGGTCGTTAAATAAAGAGTTTAAGCTATATATGCTTATAGTTTTTACACAATCAGCGGAATCTGACTAGTTATAGCAAGTTATATCATGTTTGATATGAAATGTTGTCTGTTATTGTAGGTCGACTTAACCTATAACCTAATAGTGTAAAATTGTTTTTAACTTTGAAACCGTGCATACAGAACATAAACTTATAAAAATTAAAATTAGGTTTAAACTTCTCTTCGAGCTCCCTCCTGCAGTCTTGGACCTTTTTATCAGCTTCACTCTTGGACTAGATATTGTTTTTATTAAATCAATAGGGATGCATTCAATATTGAAAACTGTAATTCAACCACCAAAACTAAATTGAAAGAGAGAAACTAGGCATCAGACTCCTATTTTGAGATAGAAGAACGAATGTACCAACGAGTGACAATAAAAAGGATCCGAGTGCTAATATATCTGACTCAAAAACTTTTAGAAGTTGTAATTGACTACTCTATTTGTATATAACTTGATTTTTCAACTACTACGCAGAAAGAAGAGAGAATATGGATATGATCAAAGTTGGCCCAGCGGGAGGAAATTGTGGAACCATTTGGGATGAAAAGGGACGAGACCAAGTTGGTGGGATTATTGTTTCCTACAGCAAAGACAAAGTTCTGTCACTTCAGTTCTTTTTCCATGAAAATGGCAACTTAGTTCAGTCAAACAAGCATGGTGTTGATCAATGTCAAAACTTTTATGCAGTTTTCTTTGATTATCCATCAGAGTTTCTTACTTCCTTAAGTGGTTCCTACATATACACGGGGTACGCTACAGTTTTGGAAACTATAAAATTTTGCACCAACAAGGGTTCCTATGGACCATTTGGGCGTACCCTGCCTTCAAATGGTGCCATGAACTTCAACTTTGAGATAGGAAATCATCGTTTTTTTGGTGGTTTTCATGGCCACAACAATAGCTGTGGCGTTGAGAGTATTGGGATATATGTGAAGCCCATCATACCCTCCATGAAAAAATTGAGAATCCAGAAGTGAAGGTTGAAAAGGGAAGAAGATTAACTCATGATATAAACTCACCTTCTGGTAATTAATTTCCAACTGAAATAATTAGTCTTATTTAATTACTCTCTGCTTATTTGGTTTTACCTTTGCACTATTGATCTACTGATTGGTGCATGGTTATTATGTAAGGATTATCTTTTAAGTATTTTATTAAAAAAGTTAAGATGGTAAAGCCCCATCCTCTATGTCAGTGAGGTACATCACCTGCAATTTTGATTGCAGAATGTCATCTCCATGTTTCGATAAAAACTGTCCTCAAGATCTTTTAATTTAGTCAATTCTGTTGTAATGCTAAGCCCTTTTGGTTTAGGTATCAAATTCTATGGGAGAGCTCTCCCATATTCAGTTTGAGCTGTTTTAGTGGGCGTTTAGACATAAGAATTGTAAAATTTCGAAAAAATAAGTTTTTTTTCAAGATAAAATGATATTTGAAAATTAAAGTTGTGTTTGGACATGAATATAACTTTGGGATGTTTTTGTATTTTTGTGAGTGATATGAAGTGAAAATTTTGAAAAATAGCTTTTTGGAATTTTTTTTCAATTTTTTTTAAAATTTATTTTCAAGTAAAAATCGAAAATTTCATAGCCAAACACTGATTTCGAAAAATAATGGAAAAAGTTTCGAAAAAAAGGAAATTTGTTTTACGGCCAAAGAGCCCTTAGATCCTCCGCAGTTGGACTAATCTAATATATATATGTGTGTGTGTGTGTTCAATTTCAAATCTTGACATAATGTTCTATTCCATTTTCAAATTTCTAAAATGGCTAAATTTGTGTAAACTAGTGAAAGAAAAATGTTCTAATAGCATCTATTCCCAGATTCCCAATCTTAGCCCATTCACTCCTAAGATATTCCTTTTTTTTTTGGAGCAAAAGGACCGAAAATCTTTAAAATAAGCTTTTAAAATTCTCTAGATGCTTCCTCCTGCAGTCTTGGGGGTACATAATGATATTAATTATCAAAAGAAGAATTTAAGATAATGAAAACTGAAATTCATTGAACTTCCAAAATTAAAGTGAAAAAGAAACAAAGCGTCAAAGTACTCCTATTATTTCGAGATATATAGAAGAACAAAAGTCCTAACGTGTGACAAATGAAAAGGCTCTGAGTGCTAATTAATACGACTCAAAAACTTCTTAAGTAGGAGTTGAAACTCTTCTATATATATAACTTGATCTTATATATGAACATAAAAAGTACTACAAGATCTTCCAACTATTCCAATTCAGATATTATTACAAGAGAATATGGATATGATCAAAGTTAGCCCAGTGGGAAAATGTGGTAGACACATTTGGGACGAAAAGGGACGTGACCAAATTGCTGGAATTTTTATTTCCTACGCCGAAGACATAGTTTTTTCACTTCAGTTCATGTTCTATGAGAATGGCGACTTAATTATGCCTGGAAAACATGGTAGTAGATCCCATAATCAGCGCGGAGACTATTGCGCAATTGTCTTTGATTATCCATCAGAATTTCTTATTTCGATCGGTGGTTCCTTCGAACAAATGAATAAAAAGCTTACAGTTTTGAGTTCAATTAAATTTGGCACCAACAAAGGTTCTTATGGACCATTTGGTACACCTTCTACTGAAAATGTGGATAAGACTGATTTCTTCAACTTTCAGATAGGAAATTATCGTCTTTTTGGTGGTTTTTATGGAAGTCAGAATGACGATAGTATTGAGAGTATTGGTTTCTATGTCAAAGCCATCCCATCCTCTATTATCAATTTGAAAGATTCTACAGTGAATGTTAAAAAGGAAAAAGATGAAGAAGATTAACTATGTTCGTATTGTTTACTCATTTGGTTTTACGTTTACGTAATAGAGCATCTGATTCGTGTTTGGTTATTATGTACGCTTTATTTCCTAGATCCAGTTTTGTTATTACAAAGAAAAAAAAAGGGTAGTGTACGATGTCTTTTATCACAATTTATTCCAGCAATTCACATTTTTTAATTCTTGGTAGTATTTATTTCATCCATCATATTTTACCGAATATTAGTCGCCCTAAGCAGCATAATATATTGGTCCAGCATAATATGCTGGAAGTTCATAAACAGATGCTCCAATCTCTAGTATATTATGCTGGAACTTTTCGTGTGTTGGAATTCCAGCATAATATGCTGGAAGTTAATACACATGTGCATCAATCTCCAGTATATTATGCTGGAACTTTCCGTGTTGCAGCAAAATAGTAATTATTTTTTAATGACTTTGCAAACGCTGGCTATTTTCCAATTACCAGTCCGAAAACTGACTTGCCCGTACTATTTTCATCGATTGATTGGATCATTTTTTTTTATAGAGTGATGGAGATCCTGATGAGATCATAAAATGTCTACATATTACCTTAAAAATCGTTTATATATTATTTATAATCATCTAAGTAATGTCCGATTGATCTCTCATTAATCATTACCAGGATTATTTTTTTTATAAAGTTTGAGATCCCGATGAAATCATAAATGGCCTATGTGTTTTATAAAAATCGTTCATATATTATTTAAAATCGTTTAAGCGATCTCCGTGGATGGCTTATTAGTTATAATTAACCTTTAAAATTCAAACAAAAGAAATTTCTAATTTTATTTGTTGCACTGAACAATTAATGGGGAGTGGGGACGATAGTTCACCTTTCTCTTTTTTTTTTTTCATTATTTAATTCTTTTATTGCTTCTTGCTGACTTAGCGGGCGTTTGGACATAAGAATTGTAAAATTCGGACAAAAGTAAAAAATATTTTTAAGTGAAAATTGTATTTGAAAGTTAAAGTTGTGTTTGGACATGAATACAATCTTGGGTTGTTTTTGAATTTTTGTGTATGATTTGAAGTGAAAAGTTTGAAAAACATCCTTTGGAGTTTTTCAAATTTTTGAAAAAATTGCGAAATTCATCTTCAAGCGAAAATTGAAAATTTTATGGTACTGATTTAGAAAAAGTGAATTTATCCTTTAAAAAAAATGAAAAAGTTTGTTCGGCCAAATAGCCCCTTACTTTAAATAGTATAACAAAGTTTCTTACTTTCCCCAAAATCATCTCTCTCCCGTAAAAGAGAAGCCCCTCCCCTTTCTTACTTTCCCCATCGCCTTGCCGCTGCTGGCTGCAGCAGCCACCAATCACTGTAACTGTAAGTCTCTCTTCTAATTCTTTCTCTTTGTTTAATTCAAAATCTTCGTACTTGGGTTTCTCTTAAAAATCAAAACTTTACTTCTTTCATGATCAAAATAAGCTTTTAAAGCTTTTTGTTGCTCTGTGATTGTTGTTGATGGGTGTTCATTTGAAGTTTAAATTTTCAAATTTAATTCAAATTTCTACTTGAAAATGTGCATGTCATCCGAATTCAATTGAACTTATAACTTGTAGTAAAGTGTTTCTAGTTCTTGTATATCCTATTTGGACCATGTAAATAGCTAAATGTCAACATTCAAAGTAGTTGGCACGCAGAATATCCAAATCCTAGATTCATATATCGTCCCAATTCAGTTGCATTCATTCCTAATTAAGAACTATTTGATGGAGAAAATTAAATGAATTCCCGATGCCAACGATTCAATTAGTACCCTAGTGTAACTACCATTTTTGAAATGTAAGCTATTTGGGAACTTAATTTTGGTCGTTAAATAAAGAGTTTTAAGCTATATATGCTTATAGTCTTACTAGCTATAGCAACTTATAGCTATAGCAACTTATATCATGTTTGATATGAAATGTTGTATGTTATTGTAGGTCAACTTAATCTAATATTATAAAAGTTTTTTTTAACTTTGTAGCAGTGCGTACAGAACATAAACTAAAAAATAAATTAAATTAGCTTTAAACTTCTCTTTAAGCTCCATCCTGCACTCTTGAATCTTTCCGAATGGTGTCCGAGTTCTCAAAAACTTTTAGAAGTTGAAATGAACTTCTTTATCTGTTTGACTTGATCTTCCAATTATGACTACTCAGAAAGAAGAGAGAATATGGATTTGATCAAAGTTGGCCCAGTGGGCGGACAAGCTGGATCATTTTGGGATGAAAAGGGACGAGACCAAGTTGCTGGGATTTTTGTTTCCTACAACAAAAACGCAGTTGAGTCACTTCAGTTCCTATTCTATGAGAGTGGAAACTTAGTTCTGTCAAACAAACATGGTGTTTTTTATCACACTCAAAAAAACTTTACTGTATTAGTACTTTTTTCTTTCTTTAGGGAGCAACACAAAAAAGGGTCTTTTTTGCATATATAGTACTCCCTCTGTTCCAGTTTATGTGAACCTGTTTAACTGGGCACGGAGTTTAAGAAAAAATAAAGACTTTTGAAATTTGTGGTCCTAAACAAGTCAAAAAGGGGCCTAGAGTATTTGTGTGGTTTTAAAAGCTTTTCACTAAGGGCAGAATTGAGAGTTTAAGCTAAAGTGTTTCCAAATTTAGAAATGAGTCATTCTTTTTGGAACGGACCAAAAAAGAAATAGGTTCACATAAACTGGAACGGATGGAGTAGTAGTTCAAAACAGTAGAAAGAAGACTGAATGGATAACTAATACATGATCCCTGGAAATTAGAGTGAAGACAGCGTTCACTTAATGAGTAGTAACATCAATGAGTGCTCAATGTGTGGACATGAGGTTGTTTTCTATCATATAAAAAATGAAAAATGAGTGCTCCCTTTTATGTGTGTCGTTGTTGGGTTGAGTGGAGATGAAAAAAATGAAAACTTGCCCTGAGTCGTGTAGAATGCTTTATCCAACAAAACTGTGAATCCTTTTACTAACTGTCAAGAATACTGCCAATTGAATAAGTCATTTTTGAATCATACTATGCAGTTGTCTTTGATTATCCATCAGAGTTTCTTACTTCGATAAGTGGTTAACACGGAAAATTGAGCCACGACCCTAGAGTTTTGAAAGCTATAAAATTTAGCACCAATAAGGGTTCCTATGGACCATTTGGGTGTACCCGACCTTCAATTGATGCCAGGGACTTCAACTTTCAGATGGAAAACCGTCGTCTTTTTGGTGGTTTTCATGGCAGCGAGAATGGCTATGGTGTTGAGAGTATTGGGATCTATGTGAAGCCCATCATACCCTCCATGATCAACTTGAGAATCCATGAGTGAAGGTTGAAAAGGAAGAAGATTAACTCATGATATAAACTCATCTTCTAGTTATTAGTTTCCAACTGATATAGTTCTGGTGTTCATTGACCTAGCAAAAGTCTACGAGAAAGTCCCAAGGGAGATTTTATGGGGATGTTTGGAAGCTAGATGTGTTAATGTAGCTTGCACTAGGGTGATCAAGAACATGTATGATGGAGCTAAGACTCGAGTAAGGACTGTGGGGGAGACTCGGAACACTTTCTAGTGTCTTATTTTACTCTGCTTATTTGGTTTTACTTTTGCACAGTCGATCTACTGATTGGTGCATAGTTATTATGTAAGGATTAACTGTTACAAACTGGAATCGACATGGATTTGAAAAGAGGCTAACTAGGGCTTGAAGTTTCATAGAGAAAGAGAAAGAATGAGCCGATCTTTTATTTCTTATCTCTACAAAAATAAAACGTTTCTTTCTATACAAAATAGAATGTGGGCCATTATTTATATGACCCGACTCAGTCCACTAAAGCTATAAATAAAACATGGGCCAAGACCAAATATACTAAGTACACTAACTAGCCCACATCAGTACAATTACTAAACTCAACACCCCCTTCAAATTGGAAGGTGGTAACACACCCAACTTGCTGATATGTAGATGATGGACTGTCCGAGGTAGAGGTTTGGTGAGAATATCAGCCATTTGAGTAGAGCTGGAAGTGTGCAGTAGAGAGATCAAGCCATCACCCAGCTTGGTGCGCACAAAGTGACAATCCAACTCTATATGCTTGGTCCGCTCATGGAAAACAAGATTCTTAGCAATGTATATGGCAGTCTGGTTATCACAGTAAACAGGAATAGAAGAAAGATTAGTAAGCCCAAAGTCAGATAAGAGTTTAGAGAGCCAGGTAACCTCAGCCACAACTTTGCTCAAGGACCTATACTCAGCCTCAGCTGAGGATAGGGATACAACAGGTTGTTTCTTGGACTTCCAGCTGACCAAACTGCCACCCAGGATGATACAAAAACCAGTCACTGACCGTCTAATATCATGACAAAAACCACAATCACTGTCATAATAAACTTGAAGAGAAAGATCAGAGGAGTTGTTGAAGAACAACCCAAAATCAGAAGCCCCTTTCAAGTACCTCAAGAGGTGCAAGGCAACTTTCATATGAGGAACACAAGGATGTTGCATGAATTGGCTCAGATGTTGTACAGAAAATGACAAATCTGGTCTGGTATGTGTTAAACAATTTAACTTGCCAATCAAACTCCTATACAACTTACGACTGGGTAAAGGATCACCCACACTAGCCTTCAATTTTTCATATAGCTCAAGATGGCAAACCACAGGAGAAGATATATCAGAATAAAATTCTCTCAGGAGATCATGAAGGAACTTTCTCTGATAGAGTAAGACACCTGATGTAGTGTACAAAACCTCAATACCAAGAAAATAATTCAACAATCCTAAGTATTTGATTTTGATCTGATTATGCAAGAAGTCTTTCAAAGAATAAATTTCATCTAAATAAGTCCCAGTAAGAACTATGTCATCTACATAAACAACCAAGATAACAAGAGAATCCCCGAACCCTTTAGTAAACAAAAAGCAATCATTTAAGGAGTGAGCATAACCTCTAGACTGTAAAGCATGGGAAAGTTTGGCATACCACTGCCTGAAAGCTTGCCTTAGCCCATAGAGAGATTTCTGCAACTTACACACAAGGGTATCACATGAAGAAGTGGAGGGAACAAATAAACCAAGAGGAAGTTTCATCTACACTTCCTCATCCAAATCACCATGCAAGAATGCATTGTTGACATCTAGTTGAAAAAGAGGCCACTTCCTTTTGACTGCTATAGCAATAAGAGCCTTAACAATAGGCATTTTCACAACAAGAGAGAAAGTTTCTTGAAAATTAACCCCCTCAACCTGAGTATCGCCCCTAACCACCAACCTAGCCTTGTACCTCTCATTAGTGCCATCACCTTTATATTTAACCTTGTACATCTATTTGCAGCCTATGAGTTTCTTACAATGGGGCAATTCAACAATTTTTCAAGTTTGATTTGCTTCTAAAGCCTCAAACTCTTTCCTCATGGCATCATGCCACTCAGGGACAAGAGCTGCCTGAGAATAAGTGAAAGGCTTGGGAACATACTGCTGACTAAAATGAGAATTAGAGGAAACAAAACTGGAGTCTAAGGATGAAGAGTGACATACATAACTCTTAAGGTAAAAAGGCTGCTTATGCACCCTAGTAGATCTTCTGAGTGTAGGAGGAGAATAGGGACATGGAGGTAGAGGAGGAGAAGAGGAAGGAGCAGAAACAAATGAAGAAGGAAAAGCTAAAGAGACAGAAGAGGATGAAAGGGGAGAGATAGGAGAAGAAGAAGAAGAAGTATAAACAAGAGTAAGCAAGGGAGAACCATGACCAGTGGGTGATGAAGTAGGAGATGAAGAAGGAACATAAGATGAAGTAGAGGGAAAATCATCAGAACATGCAGAAAAAGGAAAAGGACAAATGCTGGGAGTACCAGAAGAAGATTGAAGAAATGGGAAAATGTGCTCATGAAAAACAACATCTCTAGATACAAGGCAAGAGTTAGTTTCCAGGTTATACAGTTTGTAGCCTTTCTTAGCAAAAAGGTACCCCAAGTATACACAAGACAAAGCTCTAGGCTGAAACTTGTCCTTATATGTTTTAGGAACAGTAGAGTAGCAAAGACACCCAAATACCCTAAGGTGAGAATAACTAGGAGGTTTACCATATAAGAGTTCATAAGTGCTTTTGTGATTTAGTAAGGGAGAGGGGAACCTGTTGATCAAATAAGTAGCAGTCGAGACACAATCTCCCCAAAATTTAATAGGTAGGTAGGATTGAAAGAGTAGGACCCTGGCAGTTTCAAGCAAATGCCTATGTTTTCTTTCCACCACTCCATTTTATTGTGTAGTGTGCGGACAAGAAGTTTGATGCATAATGCCTTTAGCAGAGAAAAGTTGAGATCCAGATAAACTAGACCGTAACTCCAATGCATTATCACTCTTAACAGTTTGCACCTTAGAAAGAAAATGGGTTTCTACCATGGTAATGAAAGCCTTTAAAAGTCCAAAAGCATTGTTCCTGGCACCCGGTAAGTGAGTCCAAGTAGCTCTAGTATAGTCATTAACAATGGTCACGAAATATTTTGATCCATCATAAGTGGGGGCATGGTAAGGGCCTCGGGTATCAATGTGGATTAATTGAAATGGTGCAACAGTTTGTATTAAACTATCAGGGAATGATAATCTGGTTTGCTTAGCCAGTGGACAAACAGGGCAAGTAAAAGATTGTTTAGAAGATAATTTGGCATTACAATCAGAAATACATTTCATCTTAGATAAAGGCAAGTGACCAAGTCTATAATGCCAAACAACATCCTTTTTATTGACTTTATTCAGTAGTGCATGATCACTATGTACATGTGCATCATAAAACATATTTGCATCAACAGGAGAAACATTGGAACATTCAACAGGAGAAACATTACAAGGAATGGAACAAAGGATTATACAAGAAGTAGAAGAATCACAAGAGAAGGATGTTGCAGGAAGTTGAAAGAGCTTGTAAAGTTCATTTTCTGGTCTACCAAGTACCACTGGCTTCTTCAGTGAAGGGCCCTGAAAAGTGCAGCCAACATTGGTAAACTGAACAAGATGACCAAGTCTAGCAACTAATTTGTAAACAGAAATTAGATTATAATGGAATGACAGAACATATAGGACATTGTGGAGTATTAAATCGGGGGACAAAGTCAAAGAACCAATATTAGTGACCTTAACTTTATACCCATTGGGAAGTGAGACAAGATAAGGAATTGGAAGAGTTTGAATATTGAAAAGAAGAGATTTGTCAGAATCTATAATCCATACTATGTTCTCTATTTTAGTAAGCAAACAGGTTTTGAACAGACTACTTTCAGGCATTAACTCACCGGCAAAGTTGGCTGAAGCCAAGAGATTTAGAGTGGAGCTTGAACTAGACAGGTGTGACTGCTGCAACAACATCATTAATTGGGAATACTTCTCTTTAGTCAAACCATGCACTGCAGACAATTATTCAGATTGAGATTTGGGCTGGTCAACAGAACCCCCAGAAGCACCAAGTAAACCAGATCTGTCCACTTCAGTATTGGCAACCATTTTCCTTGGACAAGCAATTTTGGAGAATTTGAAGTTTGGAGGAAAACCATGCAATTTGTAGCACTTTTCAATAGTATAGCCAGGCTTTTTACAGTATTTGCATATAAGAGAAGGTTTAGGAGGATCAAAGCTGACTTTTGAATGAAAATTCTGCTTGGAGACACCAACATTAAATAAGGCAGAACTTGAGGAAAAGTGAGAGGCAGAAGAAACTTGTCTCTGCTTTTCATCACTCAGCAATATGCTGTATACAATGTTTATGGAAGGAAGAGGCTTTAACATAATGAAGTTGCTCCTAATTTTAAGGTAGGTCTCATTGTGTCCTATCAAGAATTGATGCACCTTTTGCTCCTCTTCAGCCTTTTTATTTCCTCCACAAGTAAAACACTCGGATGGTTGACAAAGATAGAGGCTATTTCATCCCATAGCTGTTTGATTTTATTAAAATAGGAGGCAATATCCAAGGATCCCTGGGAAGTATGTGCTAGATCTTTCTTTAATTCAAAAATTCTAGCACCATCAGCTTTCCCATATCTCTCTTCTAATTCATTCCAGATATCTTTGGCAAGTTCTGAGTATTCAACACTACGAGAGATTTCCTTAGTGAGAGAATTGGTTAGCCAGGATACCACCAAGTCATTACAACGTTGCCACTGTCTGGCAAAAGGAGAACCAACATGAGGTCTCTCAGTAGTCCGATTTATAAAATCTAGTTTATTGCGCACAGATAAGGCAACCAGTATATTCCTTCGCCAATTACCATAACATGTACTATCGAAAGGAATAGAGACTAAATAAGCTCCTAAGGTATCTGAGGGATGTACATAGAGAGGGTGACAGGGATGAGTAAAATCATCAGGATGAAAAGCAGTGTAGCGAGCAGAGGAGTTAATTGGAACAAATGAGGACTCGGAAACACTTTTGGTTGCAACAAGAGTAACAGTACCAATTGTCATTTTACTCGAACAATATCAACTAGATAGACATGCAAGTGAGATCATAGAATCTGACAATGAAAACAAAAATAGAGATGAAACGATGTTACCAATTCTTTCGCAACTGGAAAGACACGGCCTTGAGATAAAAAAACGAAGGAAATACCAAGCGGAAGCCAAAACCCTAGAATCCGATGAGAGTCCAACTGATAAGTCCTTACTGTCTCAATCGCTTGTAGGAATCAGAAGGATAAGACGAGATATCAACGAACAGATGAAAAATTTGAAGTACCAAACACCGAAAATTTGGGGCACTTCTTCTCCTTATTTAACTTTCAAGTGGGAGAGGACTTCCATAGAGTGATTTATGTTAACTCCTGCTACCTTAGCTTTGAACCAGCTTCTTCAATCCTGCTACTCTTTTCCCTTTATATAGCGGGGGTAGCTTGCTTCCAAGTCACTGGTCGGAATCAGATAAGGAACAAGAGAGAGAAGCACCCTAGGAATCAGAAAATGCCTCTGATGAGAGAACTCAAACAAAACTCCAGCGAGAAATTATAGGGGTAACATCGGACGATAGCCAAGGACGAGCTCTATCATAATCCAAGCTCTGATACCATGTTACAAGCTGGAATCGACATGGATTTGAGAATAGGCTAACTAGGGCTTGAAGTTTCATAGAGAAAGAGAAAGAACGAGCCGATCTTTTATTTTTTATCTCAGTAAAAATAAAATGTTTCTTTCTATACAAAATAGAATGTGGGCCACTATTTATATGACCCGACTCAGTCCACTAAAGCTATAAATAAAATGTGGGCCAAGCCCAAATACACCAAGTATACTAACTAGCCCACATCAGTACAATTACTAAACTCAACATTAACTTCTAAGTTTTTTATTAAAATTAGTTAAGATGCTACACCCCCTTCCACTATGATAGTGAGGTACATCACCTCCAATTTTGATTGCCAAAATTTCATCTTCATGTTTCGAGAAAAACTGTCTTCAAGATCGTTTAATTTAGTCAAACTGGTTTTTATAGCATTTTAACAGTTATTGGCCAAAGTAATCTCTAAAGAAGTTTTAACTTTGTCCTCTGAGCATTATTTGTCAAGTAACAGAAACCACCCAAAAACACTGTTAAAAGTTAAAACTAACACAGAACTTGCACATAAACGACAGAGTATTTGGAATTGTTTTATAGATTGTGGATTAATTGCAGGCAATGCATAATTAAGCTCTTTGGTTTAGATATCAAACNTATATATTAATTTTTTTATTTAAAATCCTGACGTAATGTTCTAATCCATTTTCGAATATCTAAAATGGCTAACTTTGTGTAAACCAGTGAAAGAAAAATGTTCTAATAGCATCTATATATTCCTAGATTCCCAATCTTAGTTCATTCACTCCTAAGATATTCCTTTTTTTGGAGCAAAAGGATTGAAAATCTTTAAATTAAGCTTTTAATATTCTCTAGATGCTTCCTCCTGCAGTCTTGGGGGTACATATAATGATATTGAGAGTATTGGGATCTATGTGAAGGCCATACCATCCTCCCAGCTGATCAATTTGAAAGATTCTCCGGTAAATTTTAAAAAGGAAAAAGAAGATGAATAAGATTAACTCAAGATACTTTCATCGATCGATTTTGTTCTTGAGCCGAGGGACATACTATCTTCTCCAAACCTACTTGTGGGATTTCACTGTGTAAGGATTACTTTTTGATTATTTATTGGGAAAAAATGTTTAGATGCTTAAGCCCCATCCTCTACGTTCAGTGAGGTAAACCATTAACCACCTTCAAATTTTGATTGCCAAATTTCATCATCTTCATGTTAATTGGATAAAAATTGTTTTCAAGATCTTTAACCAGATTGGTGTTTCCCATTTAAAACTGCATGCACTTTTTCGTAATGACATTTACTTGCACTAGAATACTTCCCTCTTTCTCGTTAACTATATATGCAAATAATTACTAATGTGCTTGAATAATCAGAAATTACAATGGACCAAAGTGGTGTCTTGTACATGAATTCGCCCAAATATATTTAAGTATTAGATCAGAAGAATTACGGTGATATACACAATCTAAAGACGGAAGCATAGGTTTAAGTGAAACCATACCTCTTCATGTAAATCCATCCGTCTATGGTAGTGAGGTGAATTGCCTACCATATTTTTGTTTGTCAAATGTCATCATTATGTTTCTATAAAAGTTGTCTCCAAGATTCCTCGTATTGATTGGACAAAGGTTTCAAATGAACATCCTATGAAGCAGATTTTTTTTTTAAAATCCTTTACAAAATTAAAAAAAATTATAGTGTTTTCACACTTCCCTTCCGGTGTGACTTGAACCCAGAAGCAGTCATAGCTTGAACTTTTCTTCTCGAAGTTAGCCACATAACTCAGGCTTTTCGCCTATATTGTACATAGTTATATTTGACATAGACTACATTGGAATTCTTCTTATCGCCTAATATGTACAATCATTTTCACAATTTATTAATTCACATTACTTAATTCTTAATATCTCTTTCATCCATTGTTTTACCAAATATCAGCAATAACCGGCAATAATTTCAGCAGGTTTTACTATCCACCACGCCGACCATTTTTAGAAGTCTCGCAAATATTAGTGCTTAAGTTTAGTGATATAGGTAGAATATCTATCTATCTTCTATATTTATACTATACTAAAAGCACGAAAACCCTTAATTAGCGAAATATCGTTCGCCTTTTTTTACCCTTTAAAAATAGATTTCATGCTAGACAAAATAGTCTTTTAATTATTATTTCCTAATATTTAGGAGTTTTAAATCAACTACAATTATCGCTATTAAATTTTTTCTTATTTAATGTTTTTAATATTTAAGACTTTCAAATTAATTAAAAAATTTGACCATAATATCTTTCCTTATTTAAAAAATGTAAAAACTTCTAATATTAAGTAATTTAGAATCCACCAAAATATTACTTATATAAATCCCTTGCCTTATACGAATTAGCAAGAACTTCTAATACCTTTCAAACTTCTAATTCTTTGAAAATATTGTCCTTTTGTAAGAAATTTAAAGTTTTGTAGCCATACACACCTCCTATTCCCTTTATATGACGGATCACGTTTTTGTTTAAATTGCCGCATCTATTGTTGGGTTATCAAATTTTCTACAGATAATTTTCTTCATTGCATGAGTTCTCTCTTAAAATTTAACTACATACATCTATTTCAATCGAAAATAAACTATGAGATCTTGCATATCATCTTGCTTTAATTAGTTGTATTATTTATTTGTTTTGATATGCCGTTAGTGAATCATTTATAATATGCTCTAATAATTGTCGCACTCATTGTGATGACCCGATAGATCATCTTATATTTTAAAATCTAATTTTGTGATCTGAAGCCTTAAAAATCTCATTTTTACCCACCTCGAGTTACGTGCACGATCCGAACGTGTTTCCGGAAAGCTTTTATGTTAAAAACTGTGAAAAATATGAAATATTGCTTTGAAAACTATTTGAGTTGACTTTGGTCAACATTTTGAGTAAACAGACCCAGATCCGTATTTTGACGGTCCCGGTAGGTCCGTATCATAATTTGGGATCTGGGCGTATGCCCGAAATCGAATTCCGAGGTCCCTAGCTCGAGATATGAAATTTTGATGAAAAATTAAAAGTTGAAAGTTTAATGATTTTATGAATTTACTGATGTTTGGTTTTGTTGATACAAGGTCCGTATTTTAGTTTTGGAGCCCGATACAGGTCCACTATAATATTTATGGCTTGTCTGTCGAATTTGGTGAGAAACAGAGTTGATTTGACGTGATTCGGATGTGAAAATAGAAGTTTTAAAGTTTTCTTGAAAATTTTATTTGATTTGGTGTCTGATTCGTAGCTCTAGGTGTTATTTGACGATTTGATCGCGCGAGCAAGTTCGTATGATATTTTTGTACTTGTGTGCACTTTTGGTTTAGAGCTCCGAGGGCTCGGGTGAGTTTCGGATAGGCTATGGGATGATTTGAACTTAGAAAGTTTGCTGGTTTTCACTTCTGCTGGTTTCTGGTGTTTCCTTCTTCGCGGTCGCGAATATACTCTCGCGATCGCGAAGGGTAAAATGGGTTGGGGGAGGTTTTGTTGTACGCGAAAGCTTGGTCGCGAACGCGGAGCATTGGAGGGCCTGCTCTACGCGAACGCGACCAGGCACAAGCGAACGCGTAGCGTTAGATAGCCGGGGCAGGGGAGTTGAGGTAGCTCTACGCGAACGTGAGCCCAGTCTCGCGAACGCGGAGGTGAGGCAGGCTAGACCTTCGCGAACGTGTGGAGTTACTCGTGATTACGTAAGCCAGTTGGGTCATGCTCTTCGCGAATGCATCAGGTTTCACGCGAACGCGATGAACACCTGACGCCAGTGACTTAAAACAGTCCCAATTACGGGATTTTGCCACTCTTTCAAAAATTTCAAAACTAGAAGACCTAGAGGCGATTTTCTTAAAAGATTTTCTTCCCCAATTTCTTGGTAAGTGATTCTAACCTACATTCTTTCAATTACCCATTACATTTCATAAGTTTTCACCCTAAAATCTAGGATTTTCATGGTGGAAATTGGGGGTTTGGATAGAATTAGGAATTTTTGCATAATTGGAATTTAGACCTCGAATTGAGGTCGAATTTTGAAATAAATTATATAATCGAGCTCGGGGGTAAATGGGTATTATGGATTTTGGTCCGGACCTCGGGTTTTAACCAAGCGGGCCCGGGGTCAATTTTTGACTTTTTGGGGAAAAGTTTGGGGAATCTGAATTTATGTATTGTAATTGATTTATTTAGCAATATTTGATATTATTGAGTTGTTTGTGGATAGATACGAGTGGTTTGGAGGTAAATTCTAGAGGAAAAGCGGTAATTGAGCATTGAGTGACTTTTGGAGCGAGGTAAGTGTTGTGTCTAACCCTGACTTGAGGGAATAAGACTTATTTGTCTATTTGATACATGTTTAGGTGTTGGGGAACAACGTATATGTGAGGTGACGAGTACTTATGCGTTATAGTCGGGTTAAAGCATGCGGGTGGGGGCTTGGTTTCTTGCGATTATAGCTTCCTTTGTTCATGTTATCCATGTTTAAACTAGGATTGTTAAATTGATCGTTCTTATCATGTTTACAGATTTTTTGGTGATAAATGAGTATTGATTTCAAAGTTGAGGTTGGTATTGTAGAACCAAATGTTGAAGTAAGGCTTGTACTTGTTATTCTATCTCCTTGTTCTTATTTGTTCATTGCATTATGGTAAGAGAGAGTGTTAATGCACGAAGGGTGATGTCGTGTCATATTGTGAGTGTTAATGCACGAAGGGTGATGCTATGACATATTATGAGTATTAATGCACGAACGGTGATGCCGTACCATATTATGAGTGTTAATGTACGAAGGGTGATGTCGTGCCATATTATAAGTGTTAATGCACGAAGGGTGATGCCGTGCCATATTGTGAGTGTTAATGCACCAAGGGTGATGTTGTACTATATTGTGAGTGTTAATAGACGAAGGGTGATGCCGTACCATGTTATGAGAGTTAATGCACGAAGGGTGATGCCGTGCGGTATTTATTGATTTATATTGTGAGGCTGAGAGTAAAAGCACGAAGTGTGATGCCGTGTAATTTCCTTCATTGTGTTTAGTTATTTTCACTGGTTAAAAGCATGTTGACTGTTCTAGTTATCATTTCCGCTGTATCTCCAATATCGTGTGCCCCTTTAGCATGTCCCCCGTCCCAATAATACATGTTTAGCTGTTATTGTTATTTTCTTGTACATATACTATTATCTGCACAGGTTTATTATGTGAGTGTCTTGTCATAGCCTCGTCACTACTTCGTCGAGATTAGGCTCGACACTTACCAGTACATGGGGTCGGTTGTACTGATACTGCACTCTGCACTTCTTGTGCAGATTTTGGTACCGGTCCTAGCTGATCGTGAGGTTTACCAGCTTGGATTTTGCTGCCAGGAGACCCAAGGTAGAGCTGTTGGCGTCCGCGGACCCTGGAGTCTCTTCCTAGTTTTATTATTTACTGTTTCTTACTTCAAAACAGTGTATTTTTCCTCTTCAGACTTTGTTTGTAGTAAATCATAGTAGCTCGTGAGTTGAAGTATTTATATTATTTCGCATTTGTTGTACTCCAATTTAGCTTATTTGCTGTTATTTACTAAATTGAATAAGGATTGTCTTAATAATTTTTTAATGTCGGCTTGCATAGCAAGTGAAATGTTAGGCGCCATCACGGTCCCGACGGTGGGAATTTCGGGTCGTGACATGTTGGTATCAGAGCTCTAGGTTGCCTAGGTATCACAATTCATGAGCGAGCTTAGTAGAGTTTGGGGGATCGGTACAGAGACGTCTGTACTTATCTCCCAGAGGCTATGAAGTTTAGGAACAAATTTTGCTTCTATTCTTCTCTGTCGTGCGATTTTATTCTCATAATGCTAATTGAACTTTCTACTCTTATTCTCTCACAGATGGCGAGAACACGTACCGCATCTTCAGCCAAGCAGCAGCTAGAGCCTCCAGTGGCAGCTCCTACGAGGGGCAGAGGTCGAGGCCGAGGCCGTGCCAGAGACCGAGGCAGGGGTAGGGCTCAGCCCAGAGCCCGAGTAGCAGCACCTGCGGTGGAGCCTCAGGTAGAGTTTGAAGAGGAGGTTCCAGCCCAGGCTGTGCCTGTCGGACCAGCTCAGGTCCCGGAGGGGTTCATTTCCACCTCAGTGCTTTAGGACGCTTTGGTCAGTTTGGTGGGCCTTATGGAGAGAGTGGCCCAGACTGGCGCATTTCCCATGGCACCAGCCGTCTCTCAGACTGCAGGAGGAGCCCAGACTCCTGCTACTCACACTCCAGAGCAGATGGCTCTCCAATATCTTACTCCAACCGCTCATCCAGTCGGAGTAGCTCAGCTGGTTGTGGCGGCACAGACCGATGATGGGTCAGTTATGTCTTATGAGGCTTTGTGGAGATTGGACAGGTTTACCAAGCTCTTTCCAATTCACTTCAGTGGTGCATCTTCCGAGGAACCACAGGATTATCTTGACAGCTGTCATGAGGTGCTACAGAACATGGGTATAGTGGAGACCAATGGGGTCGATTTTGCTACATTTCAGATGATTGGTTCCGCCAAAAAATAGTGGAGAGATTATTTGTTGACCAGACTAGCGGGGTCGCCTGCTCTTACTTGGGACCAATTCTCTCAGCTCTTTCTAGAGAAGTTTCTCCCTATCACACTGAG